TTACCGTTTTGCAATAGTAATTCCTTACTTTACTCGTTACTTGAAAAAAGTAATCAGATTACAGTAACGCGTTACAAGTAATGCGTTACAAGTAACGCGTTACTGCCCATCTCTGGTCATTAGTCGGATTGAATCTTGGTAAATGAGCACAATTTGAGGGGACTCGACTCAACTGGCTGTATTCTGGTTATCTTCAAAAAGAACAGGAAAGTTTCAGAGTGCAAATTGTATAAATGAATTTCTGTCTGTTTAGAAACGAACATATGTGGGATTTATGACACTTTATTACAGGTAATGGTTGTATTATCAGAAACATACTGGATGTATTCAACACCTTGACTCTGTCTTATGGCAGCATTTATGGCAGGTTTTAGTGACAGTGTCGGTGTGCTCGACAGTCTCATTTTACACCATGCCTCATATTATCATGTAGGAAATGTTTTAAACCTATTGATTTGATTTGATTTGATATACCTTTATTAGTCCCACAAGGGGAAATTTCATAATTTCATAAGGCTGCCGACCTATTGCACGCAATGGCGGCGCCATCTTACCCTCTGACCATACATACAGGACACAAAACATCACATGGGGAAGACAGGTCAGAGGGGTATAACATGGAAAAGCACAACATGAGGAAAGATAAGGAGAAAAAAAAATAACTCCCCCCAGACTGAGCGCCAACAGGGAGATCAGTTTGAGAACAGAAAAAAACACCTCTGCACATAGCACATGAAAAAAAACTCTTAATACACCAAAGAAACACATGACAAGCAACAGGGGTGGGTAAAGGGTGAGAGACAGCCAATTTAGACAGTACATCCGGGCCTGCGTGCGCTGGTCTCCTTGATCCACCGTCAGCATCGGAAGGGAATAAGCGTCGAAGGCGTTTGGAAAGGGAGGGGGGATGAGTGTGTGCATATCAGTATATGTATGTGTGTGCGTGTCCAGAGTTAAGCTGAGACAGTGTCCTTCGCCCTGCTAGGCTAAGTAAACAGTCTTCCAGCCAACCCAGGTGGCCTTGCATGGAATGGGAAGGAACAGTCTAAACTAGAGCTAGGCGATATAAGATTTTTTTCATATCACGATATGTTTTTTTCATTTCAGTCGATAACGATATCTATCACGATATAAGCCAAATAACTATATTTGTAAGATTTAAATGTG